CATCATCACCATCATCATCACCATCATCATCACCATCACCATCATCATCACCATCATCATCACCATCATCACCACCATCATCATCACCATCATCATCACCATCACCATCATCATCACCATCATCATCACCATCGCCATCATCACAATCATCATCACCATCACCATCATCATCATCATCACCATCATCATCACCATCATCATCATCATCATCATCACCATCATCATCATAATCACCATCATCACCATCATCGTCGCATTTTGTAAGCACAGTGCAGACTCCAACCCAACCCACTCCCGCCATTTGTGTCTCACTTCCCACAAACAAATCCGTGGTATTAAGACATCTGTATCTGGTTTCTCTCAAATAATCCAGACTCTCCAACCTGTTGACCTCAGTTCAGACCTTGGATGCTTTACCCAGCAGACTCTGAATGAAGGAGTCCCTGCCATGCCCAGTACCAGGAGTGGGGCTGGGTACTTCCCCCTCCTTGGTTGTGCTGTGTCAGTGCCCAGCTGGCTGATGTGAGAGGCTTGCCCAGCCAGGAGGTGCTTGAAGCTCCTGCTCCCAGAGGCAGTGTGATTCAGGGGCTGAGGTCTGCATCCTTGGGAGAAGGTGTGGGCTTAACTTGGGGAGGGTGGAGGCTTGGCTGGTTGGCCCCTCCTGGGCAGCCGAGCAGGAGAGGTTGCTCTGAGCCCTCCGCAGAGCTGAGATCAGGGAGGCACGCCTTCATTTTTGTCCTCCCCTCCAATGTTCCTTTCCCTGTGGTGGCACCTTCCCTTTTCTTTCTTTCCTGGCCTGTTTTTTCTTTTGTTTTGTTTTTCTCCTGAGACAGGGTCTTGTTCTGTCGCTCAAACTGGAGTACAGTGGCGCAATCATAGCTCACTGCAACCTCAACCTCCCAAGTTCAAGTGATTCTCCTGCCTCAGGCTCCTGAGTAGCTGAGACTATAGACATGCACCACCATGTCTGGCTAATTTTTTGAATTTTTTATAGAGACAGGATCTCTGTGTTGCTAGGGCTGGTCTTGAACTTCTGGGCTCAAGCGATCCTCCCACCTCGGCCTGCCCAAGTGGTGGGATTACAGATGTGGGCATGTGCCCGGCCTCTCTTTCCTTTACTACCTCTGCTTAGAGGCACAAGAAGGGGGAACCACATGGCCAGGATGTGGGGAGGGCAGGAGGAAGTGGGTTATTCATGCTGCCCCAAATTTCCAAAGACATGGTTTCTTTATTTTCAATGCAGTTTATGGCTGAGCTGGATGTTAATCCCAAGGGCTGTTTCCCCAAGGGCCAGAGGTGAGAGGAGGAAATATAAAGATGGCCCGTGAGTGCTGTGGCACCTGACAGGGACAGCCCTGCTCCAGGGTGGGCAGGGGTGCTCATGTGGAAGCACCTGGCCATGCCCAGCAACCAGCCAGCCTTCCTATTCGTCCAATGGGACATGTTCTAGAAAGGTGCAGAAGTGCCAGGGGAAGATGAGGAGGCTGTCAGTGGAGGAGGTCAGGTCCTGGAAGGAGGGTGCCTTGGGCTTCCCTATGGACTGGTGGCCTTCTCTGGGGCCTTTTCTCAAGATCTTCCGGAGCAGCGTTCCCCATGGGACCCGCTGTGGAAGAAGGGAGGAAGCCACACAAGAATTCAGCCACGGTTACTGGCACCTCCCTGGACTGTCTCTTTGGTGGCCGATTCTTTAGCGCTCTGCATCAAGGACTGAGAACCAGCACTGACCCCTCAGCAAACTAGGATGTCACTTTGGCCATTTCCACCAGCCCTTTCTGAGCATCTGCCCAACTGGCAACAGGAAGACACAGCAGCTCCCATGAAGGAGGACACAGACTCTGTCACCAAAATTGGTGTCCTCTTTTTGAGCTCCAATTTCTCCTCTTATAAGTTAAAACGAATCTCTTAAGGGTGCTTCCCACTACCCAGTAGCCATGTACCTCAGGAAGTTCTGAGTTGATGCCTACACACGTAAATGGAACCCTGGCTTACAAGTGTCACATGGGATTGCTTTGAATGAAATAACACGGGAGTCTTCCATTCAAAAGGTGAAGGGACTCTGCAGATGAAACCACAGCTCTCAGCAGTTTGACTTTGGGGTAACTCACATGCAGAGTGTGCCTAACAGGAGGTCTACTGGCCACTTGAGGCATGAACCAATCCTGCAGATGGCAGCCAAGTCCCCTTCCCATGGCCTCGTCCCTGCCCCAGCCCTTCCCACCTAGGGAGAGACACTCACTGTGTCGCGGGACATCTCAGGCACCAGAGGCTCCTCCTCTACTTCCTGTGGAGTGGACGTGCTCAAGTCCATTGTGGAGCTCACTGTGGCCTTGGACCAGGACTCTCGGATGGTTCCCAGCTTCTCATCTAGGATCTTGGGGTCCAAGGTAGGAAGAGCCTTGCTGTTGTTTGGTGTCAAGAAGTTTTCTGGTCTCTGAGAAGAGAAGGTACAGAGAAACTTCGGGACAGGCCCCTTCTCTGTGGCCATCTACCATAAGCACACCTTCTATACCCCAAGCCTCTTCTCCTCATGGCTCAGGAGGCCCTGTATGCCTGGCCCATGTACACCTCCTACCAACTGCCCCTTTGCTCACCGGGCCCCAACAACGAGTCTCTTGCTGTTCCTCCACAAGCCAAGCTCTCTCCTGCCTCAGGGCCTTTGCATTCGCTGTTCTCTTCCTGGAGGTCCTCGGGATGTTTACACGGCTGTCTCCTTCTTATCATTCAGGTCTCAGCCCAGAAGTGATCTTCTCAGAGGGTCCCTGCCTTTTTCGATAGAGGCCCACTCTATCTAAAGTAATCCCACTTCCAATATATTGTCTATTCACTTATTCCATTTTGCTGTGTTCCTAGCACTTACTCTACCAAAAAAATTGAAAATTCATTTTCTTCTTCACTGCCTCCCTCCTGCAATGCCCATGCTAGAATGGGAGTCCCACTAAGCAAGAAACCTTGTCTGTCCCTAGTGTCTGGCTCATTGTAGGTGCTCAATACATGTTTGGTGGAAGAATAAATGAACTGTGCCATCTCTGACACCCACATCTGGTACAGTAACAACAGCTTCTAAAATCCTAGACTTTTTTTTACACCCTTTGCTATGTAGACCCATCTTCCATTTCATCTCCTCTAACATCCTTCAATAGTACCACCCATTAAGCACAGAGTCTCTCCTCTCTGTATACTCTGATGAGCCTTTTGCTCCTTCCATGTTCCTTTTCCCGTTCTCCTCTTTCTTTCTTGGCATGACCATCGCTCTCATGTGTCTAAAATCTGATGCCACTCAAATACCAGCCCCCCTGCCCAAGGACGCCTTGATGCCTCAGCTCACACTGCCTTGTAGGTGTTCTGGGTTCTTCTGGTCAGCAGTTGGCTGTCTGTGTTTTCATTGCTCTCTAATTCCAGACTTGCCTGCTATTTTTCTTTTTCTAATAAAACTTTAAGTTCCTTGGGCTTAGGGACATGTCTGTGCTCCCTTTGGGGAGGGGTTACTTTAAAGCTCTGTTGGAAATCCATGGTTATCTCTAAAACATACTCATTGCTCAAAGAATCACGCGGTCCTAGGGTTTGCAGGGACCTCAAAGGTGAGCCAGCTTCACCCTCCACCAGCTGTTGGAATCCTCTCTTGGCTGCATAGCAGACAAATTATTCCACTGTCTGGAGTCTTGTGCTAGAAATACATAGAGCAGTGGGCACACTGCCAACCAGTACAGATGTGCCCAGAGTTAGAGGTGCCTGGGTGTTTGACCCTGAACAACCAGAGAGAGAATGAGTGCAGGTGGGCCTCTCTTTAAGTGGCTCCTCTATAGGAAAGTCCATGCATACTATCTCAATGAATCGGGACAAGGACCCTTCACTTTACCACTGAAATTCTTTAAGTAATTATGCCTTTATGTCCCTTTCAAATAAAATTTGCTGTGCAGAAATTCATTAATGCAAAGCCTTTTCAGGCTGTGTTTATAGAGTAAGGGACAGTCACACAAGTACACAGGGGCATTTGGTTAAGTCTGGGCTCTATATCCCCAACTTTCCATCAAATGGGTGCAAAATAGACAATTCCAAAGAGAAAGCAGCTGTAACTAGACTCTTGGAATGGGAAGAGTGGGACACTGGGGGACCCCGAGGCTGACTTTGGCAGTCTGCCTACTGCACTTCATGACCAAGACTCCTGTGCCTGTTTTGTCTGTGGGCATCAGGCCTGGCTGTCTCTCCCACCTGGTCCTCCCGGTAGCTGCCACTCATGGAAGGCAGGATTCACTTGGAGGCTCCCCACTGATATGAAGGCACCCAGGGTAGCATCTGAGTCAGGTGGTTTAGGGTTTTCTGGCCATGTGTTTTAGATGGGAAAAAGAACCACATCTGTCTCCTTCTCAGAACAGCCGAACACTAGACTGGCAGCAGAGGGACGGCTACAAAATGCATATTGGATGGATGGATGAATGGGTGCGTGGATGAATGGATGGATGGGTGGATGCAGGAGAGAATGAAGGAAAGCATAACTACAGGGCAAAGACCACCTTCCCATTGACCAGGTGGCCCCTAGGGCTGGGATGAGATGCTAATTCAGGAACCTATAATGACATTTCTCCTCATTTCCAGGCAGAAAGCCAATCTCCATGCCCTGGATTTCATAGACTGCCATCTAATCCAGTTAGGGGAGGAAGTAGAAGTAATGAAATCAAGGGAGAGGTCTCCAGAGGTGCCCCCATCAGTACTGAAAGCAGGGACAATTGCAAGGGAGTTCCCTCCCCCACAGCCTGTCTCCCTGACATCTACTTGGTGTGGCCCTAACACCAGATGGGTCAATGCAATAACCGAGAGCTCACATTTACTGAGCCCTTGGTCAGAGCTGGGCACTCACCAGGTACTTTTATGTGGATTCTGAAATTTACTAGGTGTAGTTCATTTGATTTCATCACAAGGCTAAAATAAAGGTGAGACCAGCCCCTCAGTCCAGACCAGTGCCTTTGCCCAATCAGTCTCTTATGGGGTGAGATGGGAGTGGGGGTGGGCTCTGAGAAGGAAGGCAGGCAAGGCAGAGTACTTATGGACTTTAAATGCACCCTGCCTATCTCTGCTATAGCCACCTTTCCTGTAGTGCCTGCCAGACTCAGTGGTTCTGTCCTGTCCTATCCTGGGGCTGGCCAGATCTGCTCCCATGGCTGCTCCATTCCTGTACCTCCCCACCCTGCAGGTTTCTGCCCACCTTCCCATTCTTCTGTCCCATTCAACTTTGCCAGGATCCATCCTGGCCTGGGTTTTGGAGGCAAAATTGAGAGGTGACTTTTATGGTGAAATCTTTAGACCTCTAAATGGCACAGGTCTTGCAGAGCATGTCCAAGGCAGTTGCTTTTGTCATGTGAAGTGAGGGGCACCAAGGGGCCCACTGTGTCTAAATTCTCCCCAGTAGTTCTCCTTCTTTAGGGTCAGCTTTGCCTCTCCAGAGCTTCAATCAGCTCACATTTGGGTGAGGAAATTATGCCCTTGGCCCTTTGCTTCTTAAGGAAGGGAGCTTGTCTGAGACCACAGAAAGGGCCAGGCTGCCTGAGACCATAGAAAAAGCTAACCCACTGGAGGTGGTGAGTCAGGGTGGAGGATGGGGAGAGCCTTGGAGACTAACTCCTCCCTATTCAAGCCCGGCCTTGTCTCACTCTTCTCCTTTCCTCCAGGTAGAGTGGGGGCTGCTGGCCCACCCCACGATCCTGCTTATTTGCCTCTGTATTTGACAAGCCTTGCCCCACCTGCTGGAGGAGCTTGGGGCTGATAAGTGGCCCCTGGCCCTGTGGCTTCGTGGCTGCAGCACATACTGCTTCATTAAGGCTGTAATTGGAGATTGACTTTGAAAGCTCAAAGAGATGCATGGCCACGCACTAGCTCAGACCCAGGATTCAGCCCACTTCTCTCTGTGTTGTTGCAGCGGCCCACATCACATGTGAGTGCCATGGTGGGGGAGAAGACACCCCTTCCTCACTCCTCCCAGCACTCACTGTTGCTAGCAGAGTGAGGTCTGTTGAGACAGACCAGACCAATGGCATCACAGGTTTGAGGCTTCTTAGGTCACCTGTCTCCCCTCTCCCCACAACATCCTCTGCCTTCCTCCTACCCACTCCATCCCCTAGATCCCCAATCATGCAAAATGCAACAGTTCCAGCCTGCCCGGCAATTACGGACTAGCCAGGCTGCAGCTGCTGTCCTTGGTGCTGAGAGCGCCCGCCTTCCGGCCTGCCTGCCTCTCGCCCCGCCCTGAGCCTTCTTGTTGGAGCGCACATGCTCTTAATTCAATTAGCTGGCCCTGAACACTCCCCAGGGAGCCTGGAGCGGAAACTGACAAATTCTGTTTAACAAAGACATTTGTCCCTCGCCCCGCTGGCTTTGGGCTCTGCCCGCCTGTATCCCGCTCATTAGGTATCTAACAAAGTGAGTCCCAAGAAATCTGCTTCCAATCGCTAGTAATTCAGGAGGCCTGATGCAATTTTCTCCCTGATAAGGGTGTCTCGCCCACTGGCAAGCGCCGTAATGAGCCCTGTGCAGCAGCTCCCCGATCAGTCACTGCTTTGTCATTTCCTGTGGCTGTAGTTGTAGATTCTTATCTCTTCAGGTGTAGGCGAGGCTCAGACAACAGGCCCCTCCAAGAGGGCTTGCAGCCTCCCCTGCATACAGCCAGCCTCATTTATGGCATCCTACGTGCTCCTGCAGCTGCAGTGGGGTTTGAAGCTCTGTGTCTGTCTCCCAGCCAAGAAGGGTCCCAGTGTTAATCCTTGGTGGGGCCATGATTTATTTGCCAGAAAATGGTGTCAGAGGGTTAATCCCAAAGCAACTTGTGAGGTCAAGGAAGGCAAACCACTGATAACAATTTTTTAAAAATCTGTTGGGGATTTTAGTATGAAAGTCTTGCCTGTGGCTCAGTGGTTTGACTGCAGGCTCACTCTTGTTTGCCTGAAACCTGCTCTTACTGCATTTAATTTTTTCCCTCGAGTTTCCCCTGTTCTTATGCAGAGAGACCTTTCCAACACAGATGAGATCACACCCTACTGCTACTCCAAGACCCTTCTTAGTTTCCTACCACTTTATGACAAAGCTCTCACCCTGCATCCCAGCACCCAGGTCCTCCACAGTCTAGACTCCATCTTGCTTTATAATCTCACCACCCATTACAGTTCCCATATGTCATGTGCCCCAGACACTGTCATGCCTCCATGCCTTTGCATATGGGGGTCCCTTTGCCTGAAGCATCCTTGCTTTGCCAATTTCTAACCCACTATTTGGAACAGGGCTCAAACCATGCCTTTCTGTGGTGCTTCCCCTGACCTCTGTATGCTGAATGCACCAATCTCAACCAGGCCCCTTAGTAAGATGGGTGGTGGTGATTTGTTGGGGTGCTTTACTGCTTGGCACAAGTTAGAAATCTAATAAGTGGTTAATGAATGAATGACCTTG